AATAAGGTTTTGGTCGTCGTAGTAGTATTGGTAGTAGCAGCAGCAGTAGTAGTAGTAGTTGTAGTAGTAGTAGTAGTAGTAGTAGTAGTAGTAACTGTGATTGTAATAGTGGTTATCGTCGTCGTACAAATGAAGTTAAGTAGTAGTAGTAGTAGCAGCAGAAGTAGTAGTTGTTGTCATAGTAATAGTGGTTATGGTCGTCGTAGTAGTATTGGTAGTAGTAGCAGCAGCAGCAGTAGTAGTAGTAGTTGTTGTTGTGATAGTAATAGTGGTTATCGTCGTCGTAGTAGTATTGGTAGTAGCTGCAGCAGCAGTAGTAGTAGTAGTAGTAGTAGTAGTAACTGTGATAGTAATAGTGGTTATCGTCGTCGTACAAATGAAGTTTAGTAGTAGTAGTTGTAGTAGTAGTAGTAGTAGCAGTAGTAGTAGTTGTTGTCATAGTAATAGTGGTTATGGTCGCCTAGTAGTATTGGTAGTAGTAGTAGCAGCAGCAGCAGCAGCAGCAGCAGCAGTAGTAGTAGTAGTAGTAGTAACTGTGATAGTAATAGTGGTTATCGTCGTCGTACAAATGAAGTTAAGTAGTAGTAGTAGTAGTAGTAGTAGTATTAGTAGGTGATAACACCTCTCGGGTAACCACGGAATATCCCTCTCCTAGGAATTAAGTTTGACTCAGAAACAGATTCCGTCGTTCATTCACTGGTTTGAACGACGCTACATGAACTAGTTGTATGTGACATCAAAAATAACAGATGACATCTTCACTTATTTTCCTCAGTGCGACTTTTGGCAATATCAGGTACCGTCTACTCTTGTAATAATGCCACCATTTGTCCAGGACGATGTATGCTGCCATAACCAGACTGGCATTACAATGAATGAGGCTAAATCTGTCCGTCACAACAATCTCAGACATCAATCAGTTAATTTTCATCAATTATCTTGAGAAAGCCCAAACGATTACCTTTTGGTAAGCTTAATCCAAGATTTAGGCCTCAATGAACCTTGTATACACACTAATTCTTCAGCTTCTCAAAATAGATGATTTCCGTTGTCAAATTTGTGGGATACGAATTGGTATTATAACCGGAAACCAGAACGTTTGTTCCGAACAGGACTGTCAGTGTCGTTATAACCAGGTTGCCGTTATATACAGGAAGTTTCACTGACAGTAGGGTACCGTTGCACAGTGCAACCTTAGTGATGCGGACGTAAGTCTGGGAGGTACAATCACCTTGGAGCAAAGATCGTAACTACAGTTCACCATAGGCTTACGAATATCTTAGCGCTACGAACGCTTTGTGGATCGGGACCCAGGCGCCTAACATATTACAAGAGTAAACTGTCTAAGTGTCTCATCAAACCAGGTTCTGCGTATCCTGCTACGATAAAGGCTCAAGTTTGCGAGGACAAGCGCGGACGTACGCATCACAAACGTACTATCCAACATTCGTGTTGGGGTAGCCTAGTGGTTAAAGCGTTTGCTTGTACGCCGAACACCCGGGTTCGAATCCCCAAATGAGTACAATGCGTGAAGCCCATTTCTGGTGTCCCCCGCCGTGATATTGCTGGAATATTGCTAAAAGCGGCATAAAACTAAACTCACTTGCCTCTTCTGGCGGCGATGAAATCTTTGCCCTAGTCTCTGTACAATGTCAATACGCCCGCCATCCACCTAGCAACCCTTGACTTCGATCTCTGCAACCCATGTACATTTCTTTAAGTGCACCACGGTAATAGATGGCCCCAGCTTTCAATTTCTCTATTCGAAGCCTCTCGCGCTAATGCAATCAATTCTGTTTTAAGATAAACCATCAATAAAAATCGCAAGCAGACTGACGTATTATGTTTCGCTGTGACACAAGCCTAGCGTATTAACACGCATGTCCGTGAGATCCGCACCTATATTAAGAGAATTATATTTGGGATGAACGCGGGCGTTGAATAATGTAGCGGGGATATTTCTTTGTAAATCTGTAATGGAATATATATGTAAGAATTACATACGATGAGAGAGCTTGGCTGGACCGCCGGTTTTTACTTGCAAGCTCGAGCTGGGGGAAGTTCGAGGAGAGAAGGCGCTCATCGATACAGAAGGATTGTCCCCTTGTGTGGAGACGGATTTGACACAATGGCATGTAAGATTTTTTTAAACATTCCCTATTGGATTTCAGAACAGTTTTTTAATTGATTTGCTGGCATATTGTCATATGGGTCAATAATATCGTTACAAAATGAACGTTGATGAAGACCTATAGGCATGTGTTCAATCTCGTGTAAATGCGTTCCGAGAGACATGGCTTTTCATTTTGAAGAACAATTGGTGCCCCTTGCGAGACGTTTGGTATTGATGTCCGTAACGATTTCGGATAGGTTATATATATGTGTGTGTGAGCGAGGACGAGATCACGAGACATAATATATGAGTGTATCCTTGTGACTGATCCTTCACCACTGAGTGAGTGAGTGAGTGAGTTTAGTTTTACGCCACACTCTACACTATTCCAGCCATATGGCGGCGGTCTGTAAATAATCAAGTCTAGACCAGACAATCCAGTGATCAACATCATGAGCATCGATCTGCGCAACTGGGAACCGATGACATGTGACAACCAAGTCAGCGAATCTGACCACCCGATCCCGTTAGTCGCGTCTTACGACTTGCTGAAGATCAATTCTAACCCGGAACTTCACCACTGAACGTTTCTTCGGCTGAAATGAAAACTGAACTGTTATCATTTCGTTTGTATTTTATACTTGGTAGATCTAATTTTAAATTTATTTGGTATTGAAAAAATTCTTACAATTATAGGTTAACATTTTTGTCACCATGTCACTTAAAAATATCCATGTTACTTGAACTTTTAACTCACTTAATACATTTGTTATGACCCTAAGAGTGAGTGAGTTTGGATTTACGCCGCTCTTGGCTGTATACCAGAAATATCACGGAAATGGGCTTTACACATTGTGACCATGAAGGGACTCGAACCCGAGTCTTCGGCGTGACGAGCGGGCGGTTTAACTACTAGGCTACTCCACGTGACACTAAGAAGTTGTGAATGTACTCCTATGCATCTGCCACAGTTCTGGAGTCTTGACCGCCCCTGTGTCCTAGGGGACAGCGCTGTCACAAAGTCAGCAGTTTGATTCCCTGTCGCGCCATACGAAAAGACGTTAGCATGTGGTTCATGTGGAGGATAGGGTGGTGTGGATGAAATAGGATAGGGCGTCACCTTCAGGATATTGAATTATATACACATGAAATTAAGGGAAGCACCTCGAAGCTCATCATCATCATCATTATCATCATCATCATCATCATCATCATCATCAATAATAGAGTCTTGAAGACCCGGGTTAGAATTGGTCTTCAGCAACCCATGCTTGAGGAGACCATCGGAATCGGGGTGTTGACACGTGTCATCGTATCCCCATTGCGTAATTAGATGTTGATGCTGTTGATCACTGGATTGTTTGGTCAAGACTCGATTATTTACAGATCGCCGCCATATGGCTGGAATATTGCTGAGTGCGGCGTTTAAAGGCAAAAAACAAACCAATCATGTCGAAAACACGCCTACCAACCAGGGATAGCAAATATAAGGCACTAACACCCACTCTCAGACGTTAACAACCAGAATGCCTGGAGCCTACGCGGCAAAGAAACGCCACTACCATACAAAAACAGCTTCTAATAAGCTCTGAGCAAACAAGAAATCATTAAAATCTGTTCATTGGAAGAAGAACAACGGGTCTCCGTTGTATCCGATTTGAACCATGTAATAGTTGATATATAACCTCTCACACAATGAGATATAATAACTGCGTTGGTTTCGATTTTTTTCAAAATTACAATTTGAGACAAGCCTGATAAAAAAGTTCAGAATAGCCTGTGAATTCCTGGTCCAGACTCCACTCGAGCCACAATAGCATGACGTCACCATGATGGTTTAAGAGTGAGTGAGTAGGTTTTACGCCGCTTTTAGCAATATTCCAGCAATATCACGACGGGGGACACTAGAAATGGGCTTCACACATTGTACCCAAGCGGGGAATCGAACCCAAGTCTTCGGCGTGACAAGCGAACGCTTTAACCACTAGGCTACCCAACCGTCCCTCACAATCGATGAGTGAGCGAGGTTAGTTTTACGCCCTAATATTTCAGCTATATGGCGGCGGTCTGTAAATAATCGAGTCTGGACCAAACAATCCAGTGATCAACAGCATGAGCATCAATCTGCGCAATTGGGAACCGATGACATGTGTCAACCAAGTCAGCGAGCCTGACCACCCGATCCCGTTAGTCGCCTCTTACGACAAGCATGGGTTACTGAAGGCTCATTCTAACCCGGACCTTCACGGGTTCACAATCGATGACTAACTGTCACAATCATATAACAAATACAAGCACTTCTACATACATACAGCTCCTAAACATGTAATCTGCTTGCACTGAAAGTGCGGCTCATCAACCGATTATAAATCATAGCGGATCTGTTAATTTCATCTGGTTTTAATTTATTGAAACGAACAGCCCTTGTGTGATATCGGTGACAGACACTGATTATCCCATGTTTATAAATTTGATATATAAATCAATACTATCCCACGGCCGTCGTGATGTTGGTCTCTGGACAATACTCGGTACAGTGTGTTTTTCATGACAGATGGACTCTGTATGCTATGTCACAGACGTTGTGGGTGTTGCTGGCGTTGATGTCTGTGATTTGTGTGTGGATCATTACAGGGACGGGGTAGTGGCTGTAGATGTGAATGTTGGAGATGGTGTAGTTGTAGTGTTCACGTTGTTGTATTGGCAGTAGTGGTGGTGGTTGGAATGGGAGTGATCAAAGTTGCAGTAGCAGTAGGAGTGGTGGTAGTATTAGTTGTAATGGAAGTAGCGGTAGTTGTTATAGAAGTAGTAGTAGTGGTAGTAGTAGTAGTAGTAGTAGTTGAAATAGTGGTAGTAGTTGTAAAAATATTCGTAGTAGAAATAGTAGCAGTAGAAGTGGT